GGGCTTCTTCTGTTAGGAACCATTGCCCAGAGAAGCTGTGGCTGCCCCATCCCGGCAGTGTCCAAGGCCAGGTTGGATGGGGCTTGGAGCAACCTGGGCTAGTGGAAAGTGTCCCTGCCCAGGGCAGGGGGTGGCACTGGGTGGGCTTTGAGGTCCCTTCCAACCCAAACCAGTCTGGGATTGTAAGGGAAAACAAGAGTATGAGAGAATGACTGTGACCATTTAATGTTAAAATATGCAAGTCTGTTCCTGTGTTATTGACAGAGACATTTTTGTTATATCAAAAAGCAGCAAACCAGCCCTTTGATAGAAACTGGAACCACAAGAGCAGTAACAGAATTTCAGAGCAGAAATGAGCTTGAAGGAAGACTCAGAGATGTGTTTGTAAGGAGAACAGAGGATCTGCCATCAGTAAAGAGGCACAGATGTGAGCATTTGAACTGACAAACTCACTCCAAATTTGCAGTACTGATCAAAGGGTTGACATGGAAAAACATCCCTGAATTTCTTCTCCCCTGTAAATTAGCAAGCGTCCCTCATTCAGTTGTACTTGATTGCTTGTGGGAAATGCCCTTTATAGCAAATAGGAAGAACACAGTAAAGCTGCAAGAATAACACTGCCTGTCATCTCTTACCTTCCCCAAGGCTGTCAAAAATGGAAGTGTTTAGCATACATAGACCATTGGAGCATATTAAAACTCTGAATTTCAGTTTATCTACAGACTTTGCTCTTTAAAGAGGCAGCTGAGAGCCCCTTGCACTTTGGGCAAAGCCTCCAGGAGCATATTGAAACAAACCTCTACACCACCCTTTCGGAATTCCATCTGCTCCAACTCAGGTCACAAAAGAACCTTCTTATTTTCCTTGTACCTAGAGAGAGTTCAGCACAGGGTCAAAGGAGAAATGGTTAGAAATATTAAAAATGGAGAGGAAATAAAAAAGGGAAAAAAATCTCAGGAGAGCAGATCCTAGAAATACTGAAGTTTAAAGCCTGAGAATTGGCAAGTGGCCAAGGAACATAGTGCAGAGAGACATGGGGATTGCAAGGAATTGGCAGGCAGACAGCATGGGAGATGCCAAATGAGAGCTCTCAAAGAGTGAAATGAGTCACAGCTTAAAGAAGGAGATCTAAGAAAGAAAATCCAGCACAAGGGAGAGGGAGAGAAAGGAGACACGATCCAGGACTTGCAGCTTGAAAATGTTGGACAGAAATAACTGAGAAACCCAATTCTCCAGATTCAATCTGGGGTGTGACAGAGAAAGGCAACAGCCCAGGTGATGGGGCACACAGAGAAAGCACTTGCAGGGAACCGGGATAAAGCCACGGTCCAGAAAAGCAGTGGAATGTAAGTCCGGAATGGCTCCCGGGCAGGGAGCTGCAGGTTTCTGGGAGCATTTCTCTCCCTTATCTCCAGGCTTTGCTATGCAAAGTGAGCCAGGGCTGCCGCGATGCTGCTGCAGGGAGGAGCAGATTCAACAGGAACTCATTCCTTTGTAAAAGTCTCTTGGCTTCCCTGGAGATTTCAGACAAACCTGCAAGTTTAGGCTCCATATGAAAGTTGTGCTGCACAGGACTCTCAGCTGGTCACGGCTTTATTTCTGTCTCTACCTGCTTGCCATGGGAAGGAATAAAGCCTTGTCTGCTGAGAAAGGGCAGAGTCCTTGTTCCAAGAGAGATTTAACTATAAAAGGATGTGCCACTTGTTTTGCAATCTGCAGCATCTGCTCTTCAGCTCTGACCTGGGCACACAGGCAGCACACAAGTGCTCTCTGCTGTCGGCTCATCTGAAATCTGGAGCAGCTTCTGGTGAGCTCTCCTTCCCTCTCTTAGGCTCTGACCTCTGATCTGTAAGCTGAAGTTGCTGAACAAGGATACATGCTGAATCTTTACCCCGAAATAATTTATGCACTCTCTTTATCATTTGTGCTTACTAGTCCTGATTTAGCACAGTTAACACCAGCAGTTGTAGTCTCAGGTCCAGGGAGCTCCATGCACAGGTGCACACACACGTCCAACACAAACCACTCAGTTATAATTCCAGCAGCTTCACTGCCTTCTCCCTTCACAGCCATTTTCCCTTTGGGTAGAAAGGTGGTGTTTTACCACCCCCATCTTACACACAAGTGCACTTTGAATCCCTCTCTAAGCAGGGATTAGGATCGATGAGAGTGGAGGGGGGTGTGGAGGAGGCAGGTGGGCTGGCTCTGGGCTCCCAAAGCCTCTCACCTCGCTGAGCTCACGGCCCGTGGGACAGAGCAGGAACAGCCAGACCCTGTGGGTGGGTGTGAGACTGCTCAGACTTTCCAGAGGTGAGGCCTTAGAGCTGCTGAGGACCAGGAGCACGTGAGCAGGGAGCTCTGCCCCAACCCTGACTGCTCAGTGCCAGTCCCACAGCAGAGCACAAACGGGGTGTAACCAGCTGTGGGGTCCAGCACGTTCACCTGAGCCTCGGGACCTGTCCAGCCCTAAAACTGATCGAGTGGGGGATCCCCCACCCCCAGTTTCTGGCAATGTCCAGGGTCATTTCCCCAGTGGTGTGGTTTTGTTAGGAACTACAGAGCAGTACCATGGAACTTGCCCAAAACCCAAACCAAAGTGACTCCTGATCCTGTGCCATACGATGGGCTGGTGAGCTGGGATGGATTTGGGACATCCAGCACCAAACACCTCAGCGGGAGGGAGGCACAGGGCCCTCCAGATCCCAACCACAGCTTTGGGAATGGCAAAGCCTCAGGGAGTTTTATTGCTTTTGCTGAACATTAAATAAAGGCAGCAAAGCTCTTAAAAGAACAGAAAGCTCATGGCAGAGTGTGGCCTCACATGTTTATCCCGTGTCTCCAGAAGTACTCGGAGCATTTGCCATGTGGAAAAGCAAGCCAAGCAGCTATTTTTAAACTCCTTTTATTCAACACATATGGGCTGAATTCTGTTAGAAATAACAACTTTCTGATGTAGTTATTGCAATTGCCACTAGACAGAGCTGTTCATCTGATTTCTAACCTCAGCAGTATTTGTAATCCCAGCGATGTGCTAGAAATCCAGGAGGAGTTTGTGTTACAGACCCCTTCAGAAAAGTGGCACATGCCTGTGACAAGTGCCTGGCGTGAGCAGCCAGGGTGGAGCTCTTGCAGGACACCATAAATACTCTCCTCACTGGAGCTGAGGGCAGCATCTGCCTCTCATGAATTCCCTGGTCCCTCACCAAGAGTGAGTGATAAAGAGATGACAGATGAGAAAAAAACCTGTTTTTTCTTGGTTAAACTGCAGTGTATGTGTTGGACTTGAAAATAAGGAATACATCTGGAGATCTAAAAGTGCTGTGGCAAATCCCTGACTGTGGAGTTACTGTCACACTTTGCCAGAATTTGGGAAAGGTGCAAACAACGGTACCTTTGGAAAACAGAGAAGTTTTCATTCCAGGCAGGGAACGTGTATTCAGTCAGTAAGGGAGTGCCAGAGGACTGGACTCAATGATTAGGACAGTGCAGGTCGTTAAGATACAATATTGCAGTTAATCACCAGGCAATGCTCCATCTGACCCTGGTTGCTGCAGCACTGCTGAGGCCTCCTGCCCAGTCCCTCCCACCAGGTGATGCAGAAATCACCCTGCAAATTAAGTGCCTAGGGACATCCATGGGGTTGTGCCCGTTGGTAGCATCCAATTGTCTGCTCTTTTCTGAGAAATTGAGGGTAAACCACATTTTCTTTAAAGACAAGCAAGCCTTCCTTTTGGGAGGAAGCAGAGAGAGATCAGCATCAGTGCTGGTTCTCCCAGGCTCACACCCTGATTTGCATCACAAGCAACCCGGAGCAGGAATTTCTGGAATTTCTGCAGCTGTATGTGCAGCACTGATTTCACCTGGTGATTGGAGTTAGGCAGCTGTGGAGGCCCAGGCAGGTCCAGGCCAGAGTCCCCCCAGAGCAGGGCTGTGAGTGTTTCCCAGGGGGTCAGTCCGTGTCCCTGCTGCTCTCAGTGTGGGGGTTCAGGTGCTGTTTCTGTGTCAGGGAGTGCAGGGAACTGTGGGCAGGGACCCTCTCAGGATGTGCAAGGGCCCCAGAAGGACTTAGCATCACACCTCAGCACCTTAATTAATACCTTTGTTACTTCAGAACATACCTGTGAAACCTTTGGCTCTTTTTCTCACTCCCTCAGCTCACTGACTGCCTCGTTTGTTTTCTGTCAGTCCTTGCCCTGGCCCCAGGGTGGCTTCCCCACAGACCTGCAGGGCTCTGCCCAGTTCCCCCCCTGCCACCCTGCTCAGCAGTCAGGAGAGGTGAGAGAAGAGCCCCCGGCCTGGCTCTGGGCTCCAGCTCCCCTTGAACGGTGCCACAGGCACTGAATGCACACTTTGGCTCTGCTGAGGTGACACAGGCACTGAATGCACAGTTTGGCTCCGCTCTCAGCGTTATTCCTCCCCCAAACACACCAAGCCCCGGGGTCGAGCCACGCCCAGCCCGTTGTGCGGGTGGAGGGAAGGGATCGGGATCGGGATCGGGATCGGGAGGGAGGAGTGGGTTGGGAGCAGGTGGCAGTTCCTGCTCTCTGCTCCACCTCCTGCCTGGGGCAAAGTGCAGGGCCACAGCCCAGCCAGCAGCACATTAAACCAGGGTAATTTAGTAGTTGCAATTTCCAGCACTAATTATTTCTGCAAAGCTTCTGAACCCAGTGGCATTTGTTGCACCTATTGCCTCCTCACCTCTTGCAGAACTTTTAGCTGAGAGAATTAAGAGATTGGTGATATCCACATGGAGATTACAAAAGGAAACTCTGATCCCTTTGTCAGTTCCTCTGATGATCTCTGGACATTGGCAAAGGGTTAGTCAGGGTTTGAAGGCGTGTAAGGCAGAAAGAAACATCAGCAGGTGTGTAGGAAACACTGCAAGAAAGATTCAGGCCTGGATACACAGCCCAGACATTGGGTTCCCGAGTTCTGCTTTATTCCAGGTCATTCTCCCTCTAGAACAGCTCAGTGGAACAATGTCAGGAATTTAACATTACCTGCTATTCCCAGGACTTGCTTTCCTGAAGTGCAGTTCTGCTGTGGGGCTTCAGTGAGGACACGAACTCCTGATCCTTGGATTTCAGTCACAAGGATGCACTAGAAAAGCACAAGAGGAGATTAGATCACCAGCAAAATTAAATTATTAAAAATGCCCAACTCTCAGTTCTAAACACTATGGTGACAATCCAGCTGCATAAAACCCTTGCAAGTGGTTTAGAAAGTTGCACATTCACATTCCAGTGGGTGATGCCTTTTTTTGCATAGAGATTATGTGTGTATTTGAGGAAATCTCAATCATAGCAACAAAATTTCATCTGCAATATAAATATCTGTTGTACTGTCACCTTGGAGGAAGCTCTGCATTTCACAGGGGTCAGGGATTGCTGAGAGAATGATGGAGCACAAAAAGTAAATCTTGGAAGTCTGTCAGCTAATTGCACAAACGACTCTTTTGATACAGGACACAGAAAAAACTGAGGATGAGAATTTTCCAGCCCCTTCTGTGTGTGAGCACATTTTCCAGAGTTAAGGATTGAGCACAGATCTGAATGGGGTCTTTGGGCTGTCCTTAAGTTCTGTGCTCTTCTGCCCACCAGATTACGGGACCAACATCCGACCAGTCACTTCTACACTGTAAAACTGTTGGGTGATTCTTAGAGATAAAACATTTATTTGTGACAGTACAAAATTCAACTACAGCTACATCCACTGCCAGGCTCCTGCTTTCCCCCTGTGCCTGCTCTTGCCCCCCTGAGTTCTTCCCCCTGTTTTTGTCCCTTCCTATCTGCCATGATATCTTGTTGACTCTACCTTGAAGTCACTGAGACCAGATCAGTTGGAAACATTTAGCAGTCCATGAACTGAGTTCTTGTCAAACCAGCCTCTGGTTTTTTACATTTTTTACATTTACATTTGCAAATGTGTTTTTTCAGCAAACACAACATTTCTTGGGCAAGACATGATGTAAATATTGGCTGACAGTGTCCTAGCAGCAAAGCTGTGCAGATAGTGGCCACATGAAGGAGTCTGCTGTATCTGGGCTAATAAAAGCAGGATATTGTTCCTTTTCCAGTCCCCATGCAAGGGCCATACTGCAAGAATAATGCTCCACTGCAGCCAGGGAAATCACACCAGTACTGTTGGCCAGGGTTGGAACAGCACTGTGTGCATGCAGCATGCATGGAATGTAAATTGATTTAATTTTGATGTCATGATAATTAATTTGATAATGGTCCCTGATATGGGAACATGAAGCTCAAGTCTGAGAAATAGATTCAAGAATATGTTTTGTTTTGGGAAAGTGACACCTCTGACTTTAAAAAAGAGAAATTCATGGATTCTTGAGTTGATCAGCATAAAAAACCTTCGTAGCAAAGTCAAGTTCAGATGAGGGTGAAGCCAATGAAGTGCTCGAGCTCCAAAGGCTCCAACCATGTCCTGGTTCTCGAGATGTTGGAGGGTGGCACTCTGGGGAGCTCAGCAGTGCTTTGGGAACACCCACTCGCTGTGGCCAAAGGGCCTGGAGGTCACTCACCTCCAGGTCAGCCCTGACCCTTCTCCCTGCAGACCCGACACCGGGTGGTCGCTGGGCTCAGAGATGGGGGCACCCGGTGCCCGAGCTGGGCCGAGTTAAACCACAGCTCAGAGCCGCAGCTCCTCCTTTCTGTCACTGTTGGAAAGTTTTCCGTGTATCTGCTTCTCCATCCCACCACAGAGTGGCACTGCAGCAGTTGCCATCCGGCCCGGCCGGGGGGGAAGGAGGTGAAGGGCTGGTGACAGTCAGGTCTGGGCTGCACTGGGTCACCACAACCACCCTCTGCTCACACTGGAACCCTGCACAGCGGTCACTTCTCTGCACTTGCAGGAGCCATTTGGGGGGGGAATTTCATGCTTTATGTCTACTGACAGTCTGAAACCTTTCCTTCTGCCCTCGAGCAGGACCCACTACATAAACCACAAGGAGCACAGGTTGGGTTCTGGAACACTGGAACTGGGTTGGACTCCCTTCTCCCAGAACAACCCTGTGCTGGGAGGGCTGTCCGAGGCTGTGTTCAGCTGGCAAAGGCTGTCAGCTGGAATCACCTCAAAGTGATGGGGAAAAAGTGATTTCTGAACTAATCAAAGCCATGATACCTTTGTCCTTATTCATCTCCAGTTTCAAGGCTGTGAGGAGCCGCCTGCCGAGAAGAGCTGGCCAGCAGTCCCGGATTTATTGGCCGTTTTGAGCCAATGGTACATCCATTGGGAATTCACCCTCTTCCAGCTATCTTCACACAGGCCAGCTCCCCCGACCTGCATCCAGACATGCTCTATTGCCACAGCCAGGATTATCTCTCTGGCTTGGCCCACGCACTCCTCTGTTGCCTTCCCTACCCCGATAGCTGAGGCAGAGCTGGCTCCAGCAGCGCTGCTGCCCCAGCCAGCTGGCAAACCTCCTCCCTACCAGCCTGCACTTATCATCTCCCTCTCGGCCAAGAACTGTTTTGGGATGATTTGTTGCCACTGAAGTGCTGCTGCTCCCAGCAGCTGCCTGTCCTGTCTGGCAGCCGGAGCCAGCTCTCCTCCAAGTGTGGTGCTGGCAGGGCTTGGCTCGGGGACCCCTGGCAGGGCTTGGCTCGGGGACCCCAGCCAGGCACAAGTCATGCTCCCAGACCTAGTCCCTCTGCAGTCACCAGAAAATAGCCCCCAACTGCTGGGGGGAAAGCAGTGGCATGAGAACTAAAGGAACCAACAAGGAAATGGAGTAAAGAGACAGAAAGGAGAAGCCAGACACTCTTGGGAAACTCTTATTACTGAAAATGCTCTAAAATTAGTGTGAGATAGAGAGAATGAAGGGACCGACGGAGCTCATCAACAAAAATGCCATACACCTCATGCCACATCACACCCTTCTCATGGGGGAGCTTGCTCTGAACAATATGAGCTCATCTTCCAATTCATCTGGGGTGCAACACATGGAAATGGCCAAAGTGCTCCAAACAGTGGGTGCCTTGTGTGGGCTCACCCTCCTCTGCTGCAGTTGGAATATCGGAACACAAATGGAGCCATCTCGGCATGAATGTGAAAATTCAGGCTCTGTGGAGCCAAGCAAACCTTAAACCTTCTGCTCTTCACCAACCTGCCTCCTCCCACAGTGGCCTTCTCTTGGTTAGAGAAGTGGGGAGGGAACAGTGGCCCTTGGGCCTTCCCTTGGCAGCAAGCACACGCTCCCTTTTGGAATGCTGGATCCAAGGAAATTGCTGTGAACCCAAAGGGCCTCACCCAAGTGCTCCTGTTGGCACCAGCTGCCTGCCCAGGGCAGGTCTTTATGCTGCAGTTGGGTCGGGGTGTCACCAGCTCCAGTGCTGAACGTGTTCTCATACACGTAAGACTCGAGTTTTCCCATTTTCTGGCAACAGACCACAGTTCCCACAAAGTGTAAAGCTGGAGCAGCACAACAGGATAGCAGATTCCCCACAAACCACTGTCTACACTAAACTGTTATTAATTATTATCTCTTTTATGAAAGTGATGTCTCTGTCATCACATTGTCCCAGATTAAATGTTGGAAAAGATATTTCAAATTTTCTTTTATTTGTTCATGCATAATGAAAATAGTGGAAAATCTGATTCAAATTAAGTAATTTTTGTTACCTTTAACAAACAAGCTCTTTCAAAATGAATCCCAAATTTACTTTCCAGGTTTTCCTTGAGTCAGAACGTATCTGACACTACCCTTAGGAATTCCTGGTGAGTGATGAATACAACAATAACAGAACACAGTGCAACTGAGCTGGCACAAGGTTTCCAGCAGGGCTCTGACCTCTCTGTCAGGCTCATTCTGGAGATCAGACAGGCATTAAGGCAGCAGCCCCGGGCTCCAGGCGTGGTGCTGTCTGGGAGTGAGGGTGGGGTGAAGCTCCGGAGGGTGTTTCCGTGCCACACTCCAGCCTGTGGAAGTGGCCATGCGGCTCATCCATCCCGGGCTGGCACTGCCCCTCTGGTGCCACACACAACTCCTTACTGAGAACCAGCAGCCCAAGGAGAGTGGTCACCAACAGCCACGCCTTGTTTGGAGCTGCTCCCCCTCGCCTCCCAAACCAGGAGGGTGTTCCACAGCTCTGTGGGTCTGTGTCCTCTGAAATTCCTGCAGCTGGAAGGGCAATTAAACACCAAGAGCTTCAGGAACTGAACATGAGCACCTGGTTCCAGGGAAGGGGAGCTGGGAATAGCACCCATGGCAATAGTGCCCCTTCCACCAGCAGCTGGTTCTGGCACTGACCTGCCCCAGGGCCGGGTGTGCTGTGGGGCAGGCACGGGAAGAGGGGATTTCTGTTCCTCCTTCTCTTGCCATCCTGGGCATCAGGTCATTAACACAGCCTGTCTTGGATCCATCTGGAGTGAGCTCTGCCATGGCTTGGGAGCAGAAGGGAGATGGTATCAGAGAGTGAACGGAGAGAAGAGGTGCCAGAGCAAACACACATGGATGGACAGTCCCACGCCCCTGTGCCACGTGCTCACAGGCTGGGACACTGGGACACTCCAGGCCTGGCACATTCCATTCACAGGGCTTTTTGTGATGGTGTGAAGAACAAGGGAGGTTGGGGTCCTTCTCTTGGGGTGCCCCAAGGGCAATTCAGCCTGCAGCAGTCACCAGGCAGCAGTCAAGGGGCTGTCAGACCAACCTGGCAGGGAAAAACTTCCAGACAACCTGTGCAAGTGGAGGCAGCAGGGACAGAGCCCTGGGGAGGTCAGGCCAGGAGATGAGAAAGGGAAGAAAAGCTTTGGGGGAGCTCTGAGCCAGCATGAAAAGCTGCTGTCACTCATTATGCTCCAAAGCTATTGGTGTTCACTTAGTTTTTAATTGGAATGAGAAAAGCAATATTGTTTTTGCTTGCTATTGCTTTGTTACACTTGCCATCTAACTTGATTCATGGTAATCCTTTTACCACAGCCATCTGCCAATTTGCAGGCAATTACTTGGACGTGCTGAGCCCCTCTGGTTGCAGGAGAATGTTAATCTGCACCATCCCTCCTGCTTTCCATGCACCCCAGCAGTGTGTGCCCTTCCCCTGTCACTGCTGAGCAGTTCCCAAAATGGACTGAAACTCAGGACC